ATTTATGTAGAATATAGTTGATATTAACAAAAATAATAAAAACATACAGTACTAAATAAATGAAAATAATAAGAAATATAGTTTAACGCACATGATAAATTTAGCTTACTTATATTATATTGTATAATTTATGTAGAATATAGTTGATATTAACAAAAATAATAAAAGGCTTACCTTCAGATGTGTTAGCAGGCTAGAAGCGGTTTTTCCTGAAGTAGAAATAGTCCACTCACAATATTTACACTTTGCCCTGATGTCATCAGATCTACCAGTAGGAAGTATGAAGTGTTCAGGTACTACTGAAGGCAGTTTAGTAGCCATCTCAAATTCTCTCAAGTGGCTTGACTGGACTATGTAATACAATAACTATTAAGGTGGTTGGAGAGTACTGACCTGATTTAACCCTCTCGCCACGGGCATTCTTTACTGTGCATGTCACGATGTTTTTAGTAAGTTACATTCAAAACTTAATTATACTACTTTTTATTCATGTTATACCAATTAGTATAGCATAAAATCGTTGCTAATAATCCATATTTTAATGGTATATAATCTTAAGTTCTTAATTTTATAAGGCAATATAAAAAAATTAAAATAGTGGCAGAAATGTGATTTTTTTTCTCCAGGCCGCCCCTCTTCTCTAATTTATTTACCATTCCTCCAAGAAGTACGAAATTTAACGTAAATTACTCATTATAATGTTGTCATTGCTCAGGCAAAGCATAATTATGTTTGGTTATGTAGCCATCAAATAGAAAAATCAGACCCCTATTGTCACACCCACATGTTACATCCTTTCTTTCAGGACTTGTCAGTAGGTCTCTCTGAAGTTCAATACTATATTATTTATAACTAATAGAAAGCCAAAGTTTACTTTTCATCAATTGACATATTACGTTACGTTGTTTTCTGTACAGAAAAGAAAGTGTTAATTTCTCTTTCAGTACAAGCTATGTTCCCACGGGAAAGTTTTCCGTGCGAACTAAGCTTGTACTGAAAGAGAAATTAACGTTCTGCGGATGTAATAGTGACAGTCTAGAAATTTGATGAGTACAAAAGTTGACATTTACTCTTAAAATATTTAGTATTCACTAAATTATTCATCGAATACGAATACCATAGCATTGAATTCGAATACGAATGCTTTAATTTTCCCTACTAATGTAAGTACGAATACTCCCAAAGCTGTATTCGAATACGAATACCCCATGTGTGCAATATACTCATTAGAATATTGTCTGCCAGAGTAAAAATATTTGGTAATATGCCCAGTACACTCTTGTCTAAAGTACTAAACAATGCTTATTAGTATACCTAGCAAATTGTTGTTTGCCATAGTAAAATGATTAGCATGTCCTGTGGGTTAAGGGGCTCTACTCTCAATCTGAACGTCGAGGGTTCGAATCCTCCTCACCGAACATACTCGTCGTTTCAGCTGTGGGAGCGTTATAATGTGACGATCAATCAGTTAGCGGTAGTTGGTGTTGACTACCTGCCTTCCCGTTGTTCCGTTATGATATTTACTAGGATTGTGAGATAGCAAAGATTTAAATTTATCAAGCCGATGTTATGTTCGCAAAGGGCTGAACCAATCATTGCATCATAAGAATAAACTTTTTAAAATAAAACTCGAGATGATGTTGTGCATAAAGGATTGGTGGAAGTTGATGAGTTAATAAAGAAATACTTTACATTCTTGTTTCCAAATGTATAATATAAAACACTCTAAAACGCGTAAAAATATCTATGCCCAATTTCAAATTTTTTCGTTTTTGAATTAAAGTTTTACAATTTGACACTTACTATTTTTTGCATACAATAAAATAATTGTGCATTTAAACAATTAAACCTATTGGGTGATAGAAATCAATGCTACTTATTTAAGCAAGCTAATTGGGAATAGAGGTCATTTCAAAGAAAACACAACTTTTAGTTAGTCTTCAGACTAAAAATAAATATTTATATAATCTGTTTACAATGGTACTCAATAATTTTAAGAGTAAAAGAAATGTTAACACATTCCTTACTGATGACATTAATTAGTATGATGCATAATGCAAAAGCATCTTGCTGTGTTGTTCTTACTCGAACATCGTATTGGGCTAGTTATGATAATGTGTTGACAATAACGATTTTTAATAGGACTAAAAAGTTAAAAAAATAAATCTCAAAGGCAGAAAGTTGGACTGTACATAATTATGATATCCATCTCTTCCACAGTTCACACGACGAGAAAAAAAATTAATATTTACGCACGTTTCGTAGGACTATCAAATGCGTTAAATTTGAAATAAAAGTCATTTCTATAAACATGTGTATACTGGTCATAAACTAAACCACATTTGAGTAGCATAATGTTTGGTGAACGTGGTTAGGCTGGGTTTTAGTTTGGTTGCTGGTTATGGTATTTTAATAATCTCATATAAAAAGGAGGGACGTGTCATGACCTGGTGGTTAGGGCACAATTTGTGGGTCACAGGTTCGAATTCCCATCACCGAACATGCTCGCCCTTTCAGCCGCGATGACTTTATAATGTGATCGGTCAATCCTACTAATCGTTGGTAAAAGAGTAGCCCAAGAGTTGGCGGTGGGTGATGATGGCTAGCTGTCTTCCCTCTAGTATATCATTGATAAATTAGGGACCACTAGCGCAGATAGCCCTCTAGTAGTTTTGAGCGAAATTCAAAACAAACCAAACTATAAAAAGGTTTGGATTTGTTTTGTTTTGAATTTCGCGCAAAGCAACACGAGGGCTATCTGTGCTAGCCTTCTCTAATTTAACAGTGAAAGACTAGAGGGAAGACAGATAGCCATCATCACCCACCGCCAACTCTTGGGCTACTATTTTACCAACGAATAGTGGGATTGACCGTCACATAAAAATGCCCCCATAAAAAAAGTACAAGTATGAATATTTATTTAAAAAATAAACTGTTGTGTCCTTTTGCTTTTTTATTATTTATGCTCAAGAGTCATCTTTGGGGTTGGCAATGGAATGGTATTAAAGTACTTATAGTTTGCATATGAAATTCTCTGTTTAATTCTTGAAAATGAATTTAATGCCAAATTTACTTAAACGTTTTCTGCTTTCTTACCAAATGCTCGAGAAGCCTAATAATTCCCAATAGTTGTCTTGGGTGTTTGTAAAATTTTGAATTCTAAATCCGTTTTAATTCAAACTGACAAAATTACCTTCTTTTCTTTCTATATTACCTTTTAATTAATATATGTGCATACGATTGCGACTCCAGATAACAATACGCTTTGTATTTGTTTTGCATATTTTCCTACTTATCTGTAATTCCGAACACATTCTACGATGCTAAAGCCCGGTATTAAATTCTCCATAGTGAACAAAGTGTAGATAGTCCATTGTGTATCTTTGTCACAATATGGTATTTCATGTAATATTTATTTTCGTGGGTAACATTTGTGTCTCAAGCTTTCATGTAATTTTGTTTTGTTTTGGTTGTTTGTCACCTGTAGACGATTTTAAAAGCTATATTTTTTAATTGCAATCTCAAAGTTGTTTCGCAATTAAAATAAAATTAAAATGCCATATTTATTTCAGAGAGGATTGTGTGAAGGCAAAACATAAATACCGTATAATATATATATATATCTTTCGCACTTCACGCTAGGAAGGCAAAAAATAATAATAAAATAAAATATTAATATATGTAGGCTTCGTTGGACAACCAAATGTAATATAAATATTAAAGAAAAGTAATTTATAAAAATTTTTATATTCTGTCCAAAAACAAAATTACTTTTCACTAAAGTAATTTTTCACGAGAGCCAAATATTTTGCTCTTTCTATAAATAATTATTATATCTTTTATTCATTTTTTCGTTATCTTGAGATAAGTTCAAACAAAAGCCTATTTCGAAATAAGCTCTACTTGAATATCGAAAATATTATCAATAATTATTGATACAATTTCACTGAGTAAAAGGTTTCCACTTGTGCTTTTGTTCAAATATTTTGTATGCTATTTCTCATCACTAGATGGCGCAACAACAGTGAATGGTTTTCAATTTATTAAAGTGCCTTTTCTTTCTTAATCATATAAACAGCATTATCTTAAACATCAAAGGTTAATGTTAATAACTCTTAAGTAAATTACCTAATCTTTATTTCTTATTTCACTGATTTTATTGAAATAACTCGATTGTAACACGCTAAATTACTAGAAAACGTTTAGTAATAGTTTTAGTAACTGTTGAGAAATTTTAGTTAATTTACGTACAGTTAACATTGAGAGGGTTCAACTTTGAAAACATAGACGCATTATCAATAAGATTTTCCTAGAGAATTTACAAGAAACTTAAAACTTTTATGGTCTACCTATTTTTCAGCCTATACACTAATTCACATACAAACATTTTGTTTTGGAAACAAAACAAAAAATATTAAAATATTTGTATAGGATTTGATGAATTTAGCACTTATACTAATAATTTATTATTCTGAATTATTTAGCAAAAAGCTGTTTAAGATACTAAAAAAAATACGGAGCCCTATCTGTTCTTCGATTCGCCATATTTCACTTTTTAAAAATGATTAATTATGGAGTGTTCCAGTTAACTGTTTAAAAATGATAAAAACACGAAGCCAAATTATTTACGAAAATAATGACAATACACAAAATAAAAGATTTACCAATGTTAACTGTGTTTTAGAAAATGTCATTCTCAATATATACTTCAACAACAGCTTTTAATAGGTTGAAGTAGTTGAACAAAAATCGTCATTTCAAAGATATTAAGGTGGTCGGTGCATAGTTTTGTAATGGTTATGACTTCTTGATTATAAGAGAAATGTATTTTTGATATCCAACGAATTATCTAATTTAAACAAGATTAGTTGTTAACCCAAGTATAAGCACAACCTGGCAGACTTAGCTCCTTAGTTGCTTGATTTGGAGGGTTAAAGATGCGTTCGAAACCTTGGCAGTGCATTATAAAATTAGATGACGAAAACAGCTTATAATTCATAGACAATCCAATTTTGCTTTTAACTTAAAATGGGGTTTCATTGTTATAGCAAAAATACATAAATAAAATAAGCATTAACCAGTTCTATTCTATGAACAATTTGCTCATAACGATAATCAGGTTCTATTTCGAAGTATGACATAATATGTTTGTATCGTTTAAAGTTCGTAGCTTCGATGAAGCAACGAATTTTCATAGCTATACCATCTAGCGGAATTGATAGAAACTACAAAATAAATCGGTGTATCATAATATAGAACCATTAACCAAAATTTGACAACTTACGAAAAAGCCATATTTACATTCCCGATAACGAATCTTTGTTAGAATGTAATAGACAGTTAATCACTTGAAGGATATTATAACTAATACATTTATACACACGAATCTTAAAGTTACGGTAAACATGAAAATAACAGAAGATAGACAAGAAACCGTTTTCATAATTATATATGTTTTCGCACGTTTCGTATTTCATCTTTACATTCACAAGTTGTCCCCCGCATTTTGTGATGATTAGGAAGTTAGCCCACATTTTAAACAACACGATTGGACATTACCGGATAAACATTTTATGCTGGCAATACACATTACACTAGAATGCTTATGCATAACATATGTGAGATACACCTAACAACAATATATTTTATTCAGATGTATTTTATTTTGAAAAGGTATATTATTTTGTTATCTCACCATAAACCTTTACAAGAATAGTTGTTACAAAAGGTTGTAATCTGGGAGTGAAAGTCTAGTAACTTTATTTTTGTTTTCATAAAATACTTTTATTTATTTTTCAGAGACAGAAAACAGACAGACAATAAAAGGAGACTGTAATTAAACTTATTGTTTATTCGCTAGATTTATACAGATTAATTAAGTTAAAACTAGAAGAACTATCCTTAAGTAGCTTCCTTATGAAATAAACCAAAAGGAGTTTAGTCATATAGATGTGGCATACATTACTAAAATACGAATCAGTTAATTGGCCTCAAGCTTTGACGAAATTTGATAATACGTAAATGTTAAGGTATTTGTTCTTCTAGTCTTTAATTTTAAAAACGCAATGCCGTGTCATAAAAAAGAGGCAATCATTTCTACCATCTATTCAGTAGAGTTCTGAAATTTAAAATGTCAAAAACTCAAGTAGATCAAACACAAAGTATCCGAAATAATTGGCATGCCAAATTACCGAACATATAAATAGTAAAGCACAACGACACGGATATCGTTAAGGAATGCAGTTTAACTATAACATAATCCTTAAAACGCCAAAAGTTTAAATCCGGTGGATACAAATCGATATTTCAAGGCTTTATCGATTTATTTTATTTATAATTTATTGTAATTGACTCAATATTAGTTTCACACATTGTCGATAGGTGCCTCTCCAGTGGATAGACCAAGACTGGGCATTGACAATAGTATTTCTTGGCTTAGTTCTGCAATAGTCACCCGGGTCAGCAGTAAGTTTTCAGGCTTACAATTCAAAAATGCATGGTTCGATTCTCGATGGTGGATAGAGCGCTGATGAAAAATTGTGTAGCTTTGTCCTAAAATAACAAGTTCTACAAGTAATTTAAAAACAATGAATGAAAAAACTTTTAATACCCGCGATGAGCGGATCACATTTAGCCCATTGCACAGGTTTCGGCTTATCAACAAACAAATAAAAAGCTGTGTAGAGAAAAACGTTGTATTTTAATTATTTATACAGTATTAACTGTTACCCAGGTTTAAAGCATTCACACTTGAAAAACATGCTCTTCGAATTCTGAATAATTAAAAAGCTGGTAGCTGTGAACTTACACTCCCAGTGAAAGCACACTAGAGAAAGATATTAGCGTCAAGACTTGTGAGACTTTTTAAGCAAGACTTTAGAAATTATTAGCGGAACGCTAAACTCTTAGCCAATATTTTATATTATACACATTAGTGGTTTCATTTCCATGCTCGTTATTTTTGACCGATCAAATATAATAGTTTGATGGAAATAAATATGTTTTTGTTATAGAACTTTCCAGTTTCTGATTGCTTGTTTGTTTTGAATTTCGCGCAAAGCTACA